ATGAAGATCTGAAGATGACGAGTTGAGTAAGAATGAACCTGTGAATTCGCTTTTTGAAGTAAGTTTTGAGTTTCACCTGAAAGTCTCCAAATAAAAACACGTTTGAGAAATACTGACGTCATAAATAGTAAGAATCTGGAGTTTCTGCACAACTCTTCTCTGTTAATATAAACCTTAACGTACCATATTTTACTGTAAATTTTCATATTTTATATTTTTAAATAGTGTTTATTGTTATGCACCAGGGGCGTCATTAGGCCTACATTTTAGGGGGGCTGAAGCCCCCCTAAATAATTTGACATTATTGGCTTTAAAAAAACAAAAAAAATGCTACATATGTGCGTGCGTTCTGGTTTGTATGTTTTCTCCCCCTTCAAATTACAATCCAACAGCCTCTCATCATACTGAACGATGTAACGTTGACACCGTCAGGTCCGTTCTCCATCCATTGTGTGCGGTCCCTTTAAGAATCAGGATTTGGGAGTGATGTGGATATGCATCACTCCCAAGCAGGAAAATTATTTCTCTCTTTATTTGAGAAAAGTTCATATTTGTGTTGTCAAATTTCACTATGACCCTGAAATTCTGTCTCCAAAAGTCTTGTGTTATCATATACTGTCTTGTGTTATCATATACTGTCTTGTGTTATCATATACTGTCTTGTGTTATCATATACTGTCTTGTGTTATCATATACTGAACGCAAGCAAAACTACAGAGCAAAATCACACTCTCTCTGATTTAAAGCAATCTATGAACTGTCTGAAACAATGGATATCCGCTGCGCCCCAAAAAAAATTGCCGCGCAACCATGCCGCTGCCCTTGGGGCTAAGCCCCCCCTTTCTTTGAATCCTAGAAACGCCCCTGTTATGCACCAATCACCGAGTATGTGTAACGTACGTAAACCGTTTCTGATCTGATTCGGGGAATTGTTGTTGAACAACTGTTAAAAACAATAGAAATAAAACCAGAGATATTAGAGCCACATGTTTACCGACATGTTACGAAGGTTACAAGGTAGTTTTATTCTCATCGTACGACAGGGCGTTGACTTCACTTTTCAGAACCAGAAGTTTCCGCCTGCTTTTAATATCCTTCTAGCTCTTTGCAGGCATCTCATGTCACCCCCCCCCCCGCTGTAGAGCCCTCCTGTCCCGGGCCGGTTTGTAAAGCCTCCTAATATTCCTACAGGCCGTTCCTGCTCCTCCCTCCTCTCATGGAGTGGATCAGAGTTGCCGTGGTGCACGTCGAACATCGCCGCAGCCTATTGGTGGACAGCGATGACGTCAGACAGACAGCCAGGCAGCTCCTCCCAGGACTGGACTGTGAGCCCCGACAGCTGAAGTAAGAATGTCTGGAGACATAAATTAACAATAACATCTGATTCAAAGTGAGAAGGAGCCGCTTCCTGAATGATGCTTTGTTTTCCTTCTCTCAAAGATTGGAGTGCTGCTTCCAGTCCTTTAAATGTTTGGATGCTGAAGCCGCTGCGGCAAAGTTCCAGCTGGATTTGGGCTTCAGGATGCTCTCGTGTGGGCGAGCAGATCTGGTCCGTCAGGCCATGGGGCTGCTGGGAGCTGAGGGGATGAACACCATGGACGACCAGGTGAGAGATAATTATATAAGTTATCATAAAACACAGCGGTAAAACAAAACAACAACAAACAAACAGAAAGCTGATGCAGCTGTTACATAATTCATATTTTTTGGATGTATATCTTTAAATGACGATGTCTCATTATGTCGAATGCCTCGACTCGTCTCGCCTCCTTGCCTCCTCGCTTGCATCTGGACGGGAGTAGGCGAGGAAAGGAATCGAGGAGACAAAAAAAACGTAAAACGTGAAAGAGCCTCAGTCTCAGGTTTATCTTCTGCTTCTCTGTCATCATCAGAGGTTGTGATTGGTTTTTTGAGTAAACAGAGATTTGTGAGATCAGAGTATGATAATAAAAAGCCTCCCTGTGTGCCGGTGCAGGGGATGAGTCCTCTGATGTACGCGTCGGCAGCAGGAGATGAAGCTCTGGTTCAGATGCTCATAGAGGCCGGAGCTCACCTGGACCAGCAGGTAACAGACACGCAGCTGCAGCCTTCTCTACGTCTTCAGGTGAGCGTCTCTGTGACTGACGGTGTTTGATGACGTCGTTCAGGTCCCCGGCTGCTCGGCCTCAAACCCGTCGGTTCACCCCGGCAGCCGGCGCTGGGTGGCTCTGACGTTCTCCGTGCTGCACAGTCACCTGTCTGTGGCTCAGGTGAGGACTCCACGGCTTATGGAACACAATCAATCCATACGACAGAAACAATACATATAACCAGAGTAGTGATGACAGTAGAAGCGCTATTAATAGCAGAATAAGAATGACTAGTAATAATAGCAGCAACAGTAGATATAATAGAACAATAATCATAATAAAAGCAGTAATAGTGATAGAAATGTGACTGATAATAATAATTATATTAATATTAATAGTAATAGCAGGGGGTGTCAGGCAGGACCAGAGTCCATGTAGGACCAGAGTCCATGTAGGACCAAAGTCCATGTAGGACCAGGGTCCATGGATGACCAGGATCCATGTAGGACCAGGATCCATGTAGGACCAGGGTCCAGGTGAACCTGTGAGGAGAGAGAGCACAAAGACTTTGGGGGAGAATCAAAGTTATTCATATTTTCTGTGAAACGCTTTGAATCGCCTCGTTGCTGAAATGTTGCCGGTACATAAAGCGACGCCGTCGGTCAGCGTAACGTCTCCTCCCGCTCTCAGCTGCTGCTGGAGGCCGGAGCAGATGTGGAGGGAGGAGCACAGCTGGACGGTCAGGAGAGCTCGGCCGAGACGCCGCTGCAGCTCGCTGCTGCTGCAGGTGAGAAGTGCCGATTCATCAAATCCATGAAAATACGTTCACAAACTCTGACAATATGCAGACAGAACGGTACTGATTCTATACTGCAGTTTAATAAAGTATAGAGAGTCTTCACACGCTCGCTGTCTGATTCTGGGTTTAAACATCTCATTTATGAGCCGATACGTTTAGAAGAAGATCCCTTAAATTAGATTATTGAATGAATTGAAGCTTGTGAAGGTACAAAGTTTCTGCTCTGTCTCCAGTTGGGTTTTAATATAAAGTTTAAAGTTTGCCCTTTCTGGCAAACTTCACAAAACCTCCAGAATGGATCACTGCTCAAAGTATAATCCAGTTTGTTTTTTATTTATGATATTATATAAATACAACACAAACGAGCGCGTGTTCAGGTGAAGATGATGATGATGATGCCTCTTCCTCTTGAATAAATCTAACTAAATGGTTTCCCAGGTTACTACGAGATGGTGAGCCTGCTGCTCAGCCACGGAGCTGACCCGCTGCTCAGAGTGCATCATGGGAATTCACTCACATCGCCGCTATATGAGGACATGAACTGCTTCACCTACGCTGCGGCACACGGACACCGGTGAGACGTTTGTCCAGATATAAACTGTCAGCTCAGTCAAGGTTCACACAGGTACACAGCATGTTGTAGCCAGAATCCACAGATAATTAAGAATCGCAGGTCCTCTAATTCAACGCCAACATGGATGACACATAAGCGTGCAAGAGGAGGGTTTCTCATGTACAATTTGTGAAATATAATAACCTCTCTTCTTCCACAGGAACATCCTGAGGAGGCTGCTGTTGCAGCCTCAGCACAGGAAGGAGGACATCCTCTCTCTGGAGGAGATCCTGGCTGAAGGAGTGGAGGAGGAGGAAGAAGAGGAGGAGGAGGAGGAGGAGGAGGAGGAGGTGGAGGACTCAAAAGCTCCGGATTCCCCGAGCCCTGTTCCCAGACTGTGTAAGGCCAGGATGAAAGCCCTGCAGCAGGCGGCCTACTACAGCGCCGAGCACGGTTACCTGGACGTCACCATGGAGCTCAGAGAGATGGGTGAGCTCGCTGGTGATGATGTCAAACGATATCATTTGTTTCTGCAAACTAAGTCAAAAGGGAAGCGAAGGGACCAGCTCATTCTAACCTGTTGTTGCTTTAAATTGTTACAAACAACATTCTTGCATGATTTTTTGAAATTGTATCGTTGCTTCATGCTGGAAGTTGCTCTAGCTGTTAAATTTATAATCTAAAATTCAAAACTGCAAGAACAAAAAGCTGCTGTGTGAAGAGCAGTCTTTCTCTGTATGTCTCTGAAAACAAACACTCTCCTTCCGTCCATTCATGAATCTGTGACCGGCTTTGTCCCGCCTTCCTCCTGCTGTGTCCAGGTGTTCCCTGGATGCTCCACATCTGGCTGGAGTCTCTCCGCAGAGCACAGCAGCTGTGTCGGGACAAAGTGATCGTCTCCCTCCTCACAGAGTTCCCCTGCATCAGGACGGAGGACTACAGCCCCGAGCTCCTCTCCACAGGGATACCGCTCATGTTCAGCATGCTGGAAACCAGCAAGGTGTGACTAGTAATAATAATAATAATAATAACCAGCAAGCACAGCGCTCCTCTGGGTCGGGTGCTGTCATTAAAAGTGTCATGAAAACATCATATTATGTTACGTCATCAAAGTTTTAATAAAAAAGTAATTATATAGTATTTCATAAAACTGCTGCGTTGACAGTTTACATATCTCTCTTTATTTTATCAGAGTTATTAACATTTCTTAACGTTTTCTCTCCTCCAGGACTTCGTCCTCACCAAACGTTTGGCCTCCGTCTTCTCTCACTGCTACAGCTGCTCTCCGGTTCCTCCGGTCCGTCCCGTGGACGTCGGTCTGTCCACTCAGCTCGGTAACACATCATCATGTGACAACGAGACGTATCGACGACACTCAGCGACAACTTTAATGGATCTCCTGTCGTCTCCGTCCTCAGACATTCACTTCCTGAACAGCCAGGAGATGTCCGACGTCACCTTCATGGTGGACGGACGTCCGTTCTTCGCTCACCGAGTGCTGCTGATGTCGGCTTCTGAGAGGTCAGTGTATCTCTCTTATTATATAGTACTTAGTTATAGAGTAGTTATAGAGTACTTTATACCTGTAGAGCTATAGAAACACACACACCTTTATGGACATTAAAGAAGTTATTTGGAAGATTCTTGCTCTTTGCTGTTTGAGTATAAAGTTCATGAAAATGTCACGATTATGTTACACAAAGCGCTGCATGTGACACCTTAAATGATCAAAGTATATTCAATAAAAAACATGTATTTCTTCAAAATATCACTAAAAAAAGTCGTATCATAGTCATGAAAATGTTACTATATTTAGTATGTTCATAAACTGTAAAAAAAACAACAACTTCATAACATTAAATATCACGATATCGGTCCACAAAGTTCTGCATTTGACACATTTAACTGAACAAAGTACAATTAATACAAATCACATTTTATTTCATGCACATTGTATAAAAACGTTAAACAACATGAAAATGTTATTTATTTTAATAATTCGTCAGGTTTCGGCGGATGCTCTGCGACTCCCCCGACAACATCATCCATGTCAGTCACATGACCTACGGCACCTTCCAGGTGAGACTCACCGTCTGTCCTCTGGTGTTAATAACAGTGACTGTTTAACACTGCAGTGTGTGTGTGTGTGTGTGTCTCTATGCAGATGATGATGAAGTCTCTGTACTGTGGAGGGACGGAGGGACTGACCATCTCCCAGTCTGACGCCATGACGGTAAAATGTTTTTAAATGTATTTCACACACAAAGGTCTGTCTTCTGTCTTCTGTCTTTCTACCTGAGATATCTTAGACACTTTTGGACCAAGTCGACGTATAAAAATCACCATCATGCCGTCATTAGACCAAAAAACTCTTAATTATAGATAATCTTAATCTATTTTAAACATTTCCTTTTACACTTTCTACATATATGTTTACATATATGTACATATGTTTCTTTTCTTGGTAGCTGCTTCCGTTGGCCACTTTCTTCCAGCTCAGAGGTCTTCAGAGAAGCTGTGAGATGAAGTTGTCTCAAGGTGTGACTGTGGACAACGCCGTCAACATCTACCAGACGGCCAAGGTACAAACACACACGCACACACACACACACACACACGGTGACATGATAAGAGTTCTTATTGTTCAAATAAAGAAGAGAACTGGAATGTTAATTTAGAGGAAGCTTTATGACATTATAAAATATATCGGTAAACTTCCATTTAATCAACCTTTAATTAAACATAGTATTGATCTCGAGCAGCTTATTTTCCTTTGGAAGTTGACCTCAAAATCAGTTGTTATGAAAGTTTATGATGTATTATTTTATTTCAGATTCTGACTCGTTGAAATGTTTTATTTGGGTTTTTTAAATGTTCACATACAGTTGAACTTCAGACTCTCGTCTCAACAAATAAAACAAGTTGTATTGAATAACAAAACTTGTTTGATAAGTTTTATTTGTTATATAATAACAATAATAATAATTTAATAATATGAGGAACTGAAAGCCCGCAGAATAAAGATGATGAATAAAACA